GGGGGAGGGGAAGATGCTGGGAGTGGAATGGAAGAGAGACCCAATAAAGGAATGAAGGTCACAGGAGAAAGACATTGTATTCTAAGGTCATGTGGACATATATGTATATATGAGTAAGGTAATGAGTACAGTTCTTATCAAGCATTGTTGCCTCCTCCTCTGTTTCCCCTTCCCATCTCCCCCCTGCCCCTCCCCGCCCCTCCCCATGCCTGGCTTCTCCTGCCCGGCTAATGTGTAAAGATGTCCTCTGTGGACAGATGTGTGTGTGTGTGTGTGTGTGTCTCCTAAAGCTGGGACCTTCCTGATCACCCTAGACCCTTCTAGGTTGTTCTGCCTGCTGTACATTTTAAGACCCTTCAAGGGCCCGTGAAGTGGGCTGGGAGGCGCAGTCCTGGTGGCCTTAGTTGGCTCTCTGGCCAGACAAAGCCCTACGCCAAATGCTACCAAACAGCGCCTGGGATGCCAGGCAGCTTTGCTGTGCAGAGCTTGGGCACTTGCAAGGCCCTGCTCTGCTCTGTTGGGGTCTTGTCTGTCTGGGTAGTCACAGAGGCAGGGACCTGGTACCGGGGGGTGACAGAGAGGGAGAAGACATATATGGGCTGACACTAGGGGCTGCTCACTGTGAGCTGTAGCCACCGTACTCTCTTTACCATCGGCTTTGTCTCTGAACCCCTCACCACCCACACCAGCATCTCCTAACTTCCACAATCCCTGATCACCACTGAGAGGGAGAACTTTTTGGTCAAACTGGGATGGGAGCCTGGTAGAAGAGAAGTCGGGGTGGGGTGGGGTGGGGGCGAGTGTCCAGGCAGGAGAGAGGTGAGCCTCAGGCTTCTGGTTATAAATTGTGGGTTGCTATGGGGGTAGGCAGACCTCCTCCTGCTGAGTCTTTCTGGTCCCTTATGATGGTCTCATCTTTACATCTAGGAAACAGGCTACAAGTCAAGGGACTTCAAGGGAAAGCCCCATAGGAACATCTGTGGGATCTAAAGCCCTACATGAGTTCTGTCCTCCTATCTACCTGGAGGGGCCCTGGAGACCCCTCATCACACCTGCCTTGTGTTCCCTGACCCCTAAACCAGGTTGCCACTGCTCCCCGAGCTAAGCCTGGTCAGAGTTGTGTTACATGTGCTCTATTTGTTAGCCACTTGCTGAAAATTTCAACAAAAAGAACATCGAAGCCAGGGAAGAGATGGTGACAGGCGCTATCTGCTTCAGGAGACACCAGCCGCCTGACCTCAAGGGTCTCCGGAGGAGGTGCACACGTGGTTTGGCTTCTTTAAGGCTCCCTGGGGCAGGGCGTGCTGTCAAGGGAACTGCTATCCCACCCAACGGTGATTCCTGCAGGATGGCAAAACCCATACCACCAGCCACATGCTTTTCCATCACGAATGTCCTAAGGACTCCCAGTTAGAGCTCTTCCCCAGGACAAAGACCAGCCATTAGATGGCCCTCCTTCTGAGCTTCATTTCACAGCACTGAGGACTCCATAACTGAGAGGTCACACAGTGGCTTCTTACAATTGTTTTCTCACTTTTGTTGCTAATCAATTGCTGTTTTTTATTATGGGTATCTATGCCACCCACAGGTATCTGGGACAGAGCTGAGACATCTGTGCTTAGAAACGGGCTCCAAGAAAGGGCTGGACAGGAAGAGCACATGTGTCAAAAAGGCATATTCCATGAGATGCTTGGAGAATCTGGGCCTTGGGTTGAAGGTTCCGGTGACAGTTGAAGAGGCCGATGGCTCAGTCAGCAATCTGTCAGTCTGAGAGTAACCCCAGGAACTCACCAGCTTCTGAACACACTGAGGAAGCCGATAGGAGGAGTCTCTAATATTCTCTATGACCTTCTCAGACCCTCCTGCTGACCCCTAACACTACATAAGTTAGACAACTGAACCCAGAGGTGCCAGGTTTCCCTGTGCATACTATGTCCCCATCACACCATTGGACAAGCTAGATCAAGAGCAAACAGATTCTCAGAAGACAGACAGACAGACAGACAGACAGACAGACAGACACACACACACACACACACACACACACACACACACGGCTCCAGTTTTGTACACCTAGAGGTGGTTGAAACTGGGAAAGCCTTGAGATCCATTTATACTTCTCTCTGTCTGTCTGTCTGCCTGTCTCTCTCTCCTTCTTGTAGGTAAAATACTACAGGATTGTTTCCTTGAATCTCATAGCAGTTAATACATATTTTTAAATAAGGAGTATATGAAACAAAGAGACATACTGAAGAAGAGAGGACAACTTTCATCATTGCATATTTAAAGTATATAGCAAGCAGCATAAATTAAGACACCATAGAAATTGAATTGGATAAGAAAACATTGTTCCAAGGAAGAAATAGTGCTCTTGACAGTTTTTCTGCCCACCATTCCCACGTCAAATGCCCTCCTTCGAGGTACAGAGGCAAGGTTGCATTCTGCCCACTCCGGTATATGAGTTGTACTTATCACAGCACTTGATGGCCTGGTAAGGAGAGTCGTTGGAGATGAAGGTGGCTGGGAACATCCGCGACTGGGCAACCCTGGCTGAGCTGACACAGGACAGGGGTATCATGCCGCACTCCTCTGCGCATCTGAAGGGAAGACAGACAGAGCCAGAGCTTACCATTTTTTCTTCTCAGCGCATTTCTCTAATTATCAAGGCTAAGCTGGGCCGTTCAGGGCTGCAGCTATTCACAAGTGATACCCGCCTTAGAGTCAAACTGTCTGACCTGTGCCAACTTCCTTTCCCATCTCTTTTTTCTCCTATAACTGCTAGGCATGTGAAATCAGATGACAAAGGAAGGGAGCATGAACTGCAAGCTGGGACCACACAGTGGTCACTGCACAGCTTCAAATAAGAGGAATGATGAGAAATCAGCTGCAGTTACCTGTGCCCTGGCTCTGGGGTCCACCCACCATCCGACTCCCTACACCTAGGACACTGCTGCTGCCAACGTCTGGCTTCTCTCATAGTTAAGGCTTTTCTCCACAAACTTGAGTATCTCTTTGTTGGTTGTACAACCCCTTGTCACCTGTCCTGGGCAGAGCCTCTGCCTCTGTTCCCAAGGCCACAGGCAATGAATGAGGGACCATCCTAGGAATGGACTCACAGACTCAAGTGAGAGGCTCGGGTTGCCTGTGTGACAAGGAGTCAGAGCACCTTCCCACAGCACCCCCCCCCCACAGATGGTTTGGTCCAAAGCATGGGGACAGAAGGGGCTCAGGTAAGGGGACGCCAAGCACTTGAAACCTAGTGCGTCTGGGTGTCCACAAAGCCATGTTGACATATGTGGCATGCAGGCTGAGAAAATTCCATTTAGGAGCTCACAACCCCAAACCAGAATGACAAAGCAGCAACAACAGAAACCTGCAAGATTCTATACCAACCTGCCTTTGCTTCCCACACCTCACCCACGGTGCCGCCACCTGGGTCAGAAATAAACCTGCTTGAGCCAAGAGCCCCAGGCTCCCACTTGAGGTTTTTTCACTCTTACCCACGTGACTCACTTGATTGTCTTGGACACTTTGAAGTAAAGGCAGAAGATAATGCTGATCAGCAGCAGCATGGCTGCCAGGATCCCACCACCAATGATGATAATCATTACCATCCGGAGGTCCATGTGCTTAGACATAGCTGGGTAGAGAAGAGCAGTAAGCAGAAAAGGTGGTCTCCCTCCCCACACAGCCATTAGCAACCTCCACAAGCTTCCTCAGTGGAGGAGGAATGGACCCCAAACATGGATCTTCATACATGTAAAGCATGAGACACTTCCCAAGGAGGGCTAAATTGGCCCACGGGTGGCAAGAAGGTTTATTCTGAGATTAAAAAAAGAAAAGATTTTTCAAGCCAGGTGCCAGTGGCTCAAGCCCATAATTTTAGCTATTCAGGTGGCTGAAATCTGAGGATCATGGTTCAAAGCCAGCCCAGGCAGGAAAGTCCATGAGCCTTTTATCTCCACTTAACTACTCAGAAAAAGCCAGAAGTGGCATTGTGGCTCAAGTGGTAAAGAGCTAGCCTTGAGCACAAAGAGGCCCAGGGACAGCACCCAGGCCCAGAATTCAAGCTCCAGGACCAGCAAAAAAAAAAAAAAAAAGCAAGCAAGGAAGGAAGGAAGGATAGAAAAAGAAAGAAAAAAAAAAAAGCAAGCAAGGAAGGAAGGAAGGATAGAAAAAGAAAGAAAGAGAGAAAAAAGAAAGAAGAAAGGAAGGAAGAGAGGAAGGAAGGAAGGAAAGTAAAGAAGGAAAGAAAAGAAAGGAAAGGAAAATAAAAGTTTTCTCTAGGAAATCCAGAGATCAGGAGATGAGGACAGATAGTGGAAAGGATTTTTACCTGTCACAGGTGGTGCTGCACACTTAAATAACACACAGACTTTCACTGGAGGTAGTAGTAGCTTGACTTCCAGATGCCTGGGCCTCCTGAACTATGCCCACACTCAGAATTGTCCCTTGTTGCGTACATCATCAGTCTCTGAAGTCTCCTATGGAAATGACTGATTTAAAATATTATTGTCTCCAGAAAGCGAAGAACCAGCAAATCCATTTCATTTTTAAAGCATGTTTCAGGAAAAAGTAGTTTTCAATTCTTCTACTCAAAACTGCCCATTTTCCTTTTAAATCTTAAATACTCCTAGGAAATCCAATTCAGAACAATCCATTTCTTTACCTCTCTGACTCTATAGGGAGACAAAGAAACTGGTGAGTGAAGAAACAACCTAACTGCCAAAACATACTCACTTCCTTCTCAGTCTTCATTGCTAGATGAAGGCCGAGGGTTTAAAAAATAATAATTATGTATCAGGAATTTCTCAAACCTTTGAGACACAAACTCTTATTTATTAAGATCCAAGGCTGAAGAACTCAATTTCATATACACAGTCTTCCAACCGAGCTGGTGGAAGGGACAGCCCCTCGAAGCTCTAGCATCTTTCCGGTCAGGACACATGCTGTGTGACATCAGCTCTTAAGACAGCAGCCCTGTTTCATGGAGTTCTGAATTCCATTCTATGCTCAGGTATCTTAGCACCAATAGAAATAGGAATTCCCAAAGACTTACTTAAGTCATATCATTTTCAGTCTTCCCTTTTCAGATATTTTTTGTCCAACAAAAAACACAAGGTTTGACTGCTCATTAAAAACAAATTTGGGTAGTTTTTTTTGTTAAACAAAATGGCAGTAGTGTCGTGAGGCTAATATCTAAAAACGCATCAATACTTTAAATGGCAATTAAAAGGTGAATATATGCTTAGACTTAGTATTTTAGGCACAATGTAAAATAATATAGAAACGTTTAAGAAAATTCAAATATAGATGCATTTGGCACCAGATCATACTTTGTGGCTAAAGTGAATAATTCAAAAGTGACTTAAAAGGATGCCAATTTTAGCTGTATTTCCATGATTTCAAAGACATCTGAACCCAGGAAAGCCAACTCAATTACATGAAAGAATTATTTTAATTCTCATAATTTTTTTTAAATTATCACAGTTATTTTATTCTGGTCAAAACCTAACTGAGGAGCTGGGAATGTGGCTTAGTGGTAGAGTGCTTGCCTAGCATTCATGAAGCCCGAGGTTCAATTCTTCAGTACCACATACATAGAAAAAGCTGGAAGTGGGACTGTGGCTCAAGTGGTAGAGTGCTAGCCTTGAGCAAAAGGAGCTCAGGGACAGTACCCAGGTGCTGAGTTCAAGCCCCAGGACTGGGGGGAGAAAACTAATTAAGAGCACCAGAAGAGATATCAACAGAAATAGTACAGAATAGTTGGGAAATTCTCTCCATAAAAACAATGAAAAATCTACCCAAAAAAGTCAGGATCAGACCTTTCCAGAACTTTGGAAATCAGCAGCATCCAAGGTATACAGCCAGTTCTGTGGCCCTGTACTGTTATTCACCCTTAGCTCCATAGTAGCCATAAGAATAACTGCCCACATTCCAGTGTGGCCACTACCAGAGACACAGAATTTCAAAGTATCCTTATCAAAGGACTGCTATTCTTTGAACTGTCTATTCATTACCTGAGACCTTACTTGAAGCTGTCTGAGTTTGAAGATCACTCAATACAGTAGTAATTCTTGTCTGCAGAGAGCTTTAGTGAAAACAATTGTAGGCCATGATGTTAACAACCGGCTGCCAAAGGTGATGGGTAACATTTGGAGCAAATGATAGACTAGCCAAAAGCTGAAAGGAAAAGCTGGGGAAATGACATGCCACAAATTCCCCAAAACATGGATTTTGAAAAGCTGACATATTCCTGGAAGTGTAAAAAACCACACCCTATGTAAGGCTACAGGCCTGACTAGAGTTATAAACAGGCTCAAAATAGAAGTGACATGGCTCTAAGCTCTCACCTCTACCTGACCTTGAGACTCTTCTTAAAGCAAGAAGGGAATGCTAACAGTTAAACTGTTTAGCAGAGTGTTGGGGCACACTTCACATACCCACAGAGTTCTCAGTAAAGAATAGGATATTTTTTCCCAAGCATTTTAGGATAGCTTTGCCTACTCCCACTAATCAAAATTTTCAGTGTTTACATACTGCAAAGAATACAGACACTACCGAATTCATTAAGGAAAGTCACTCAACAAACCATATGATTCTAAGAGGCAGAAACATTATTTTAAATGTCTAATCTGTACCAAAAAAAGAGGAAAACTATAAACAATAAAGTAGAATGCACAAAAGGCAAGGGAACAATCAATAAAAATGTTTCCTGAAAAAATATAAACATTTGAACTATGTTAAAGCTTTTCTAAAGAGCTAAAAGGAAGAGTAAGAATAATATCTCATTGTAGAGATTATCAATGAAGGTAAGGACTAGTAAAAAGAACCAACGATAAATTATGCAGCTAATTAAAATGGTTCCCTAGAGAGGCTGAGCAGCCGTTTTGAGCAGACAGAAGAAAATAAAACCCTGAAGTTGAGACAGGTCCCAGAGGAAGAAGAAAAAAAATACTAATGTATAGACATGAACACAGGTTTTCCTGTCTCTGCTCCAATGTGTAAAGAGTTTGTGAGTTGCCACTCATGTTCACAGCAAGGAGCAAAGCTGAACAAACTGAAAACCAACCACCTCTAAGTCAATGGGAGAACTGGAATCAGGACAAACAAGCCACTAGCAAAATGGGACAGGAAGATGAAAAAAGAAAATCACCGAGTCTCTGGAGCAGAAGTCAGCACCAGAGCCAGCAACAGAAACTAAATGGCAATGAATGCTAGAGGCTGGATAAGGACTAGCTTGAGAGTTTAAAAGCCCTGGATTCCCAATTTTGTTTTGTAGGAGATCAGGAGCACACTCTCCTGAGTTTTACCTCCAGGAGTTCAACCAAGTTCTTAGAGATTTCAGAAAAATCTCCTTATGCTTTATTTTCTGCGGATTCTGCTAGGCGGTGATCTTGACTAAAGTTGTAATTTCCAGCCAGGCCTCCTCTGATTACCACCTCCCCAAGGTTAAGTGGAAGTGTAGCTCATTACCATAGAGTCAGATTGGATGTCTAGACTCCCCATAGGATAACCAATGACACTACAGGGATTCAGGGATGAATACCACCCAGGGTGACTCTCAGCTCTATTCAGCCTTCTCTAACACTACCCTGGAATGGAGGGGTGATCTAATGTAATACTTAACAGTTTTAGGAGTGGACGTCCAAGCTCTCTACTCAATCTTTGATGGCAGAATAAAAGTAGATGGATGGAATACTGCAGATTATTGTTTTCAGTGTTGCTAGATTGTCCATTTCCTGGTCCTTTGGTTAGACAGAATATGATTTTGCTGGCTATTTTTGCCTGACCCCCTCAGTGTTTCCAGGTCATGAAAATCTTGAGCTCCAAGTCTAGGAGTTTGAAGCAAAAATAAAACCCAGAAAACTCTCCAACAAGGCATTCTTTGGATCCCAACATCCCCAACTAGTAGACCTTCTCTCCATTTGTTTTATATGTGATGGCCACAGGTTTCGTTCTCCTTAGAATAAGGAAAGTGCATATTCCCCGAAACATAAGACTGTATTTGTGAATTTTTTAAATATATACTCTGTTTAGTGGCCACAACACTGTGTCAACCAACCCTAAAACTTTGCCCAGATCTGCGAATGAGTGCCTCACAAAATGTCACATGTACAATGCCATCCTATCTGAATCCCAACAAACTCCTCTTTCTGGTTCACCATCTGCTTCTGCCTTTCTCTACAATGCATGTATTCTCATGCTTCCCTACCTAAGTTAAATGGCTCTCCAGGCTCCCTCCTCCTTTGTCTACTGAAATTCTAACCTTGTGAGGCTTCATTTAATGTCACTGCCTCTGTAAAATCCTCACTGATTCCTGTCTCTTCCCACTGCTTTTCCTGAATTTACACATGTTCATATAGCTATATGAAAATCTGTGTGTTTACCCTAAGAAATTCCCAATTTGTGTTCAACCTTGTTGACTAGACATTGAGTCTAGGAACCTACCAAAACTCACTGAATCCTATGCGCTGACTTGAAATAACCATGAGTTTTGTCTTTCTCCCATTATCTCTCACACGAAGGTTTTATTTTTCCAAGTAAATTCCTTCCTATAGAATCAGCAACATTTCAGAGGAATGAATGAGTTTGGCCTTCCTGAGCTTGGCCACCGTGAAGAAGC